TCTTCAATTCCGGCGTTGGGGCCGAGACCGCCGTCCAGCCTGAGCGCGGGAATGAATTAAACCATCATCCATCTCTGTATGGTGGCGCCCTCCCTTCACCCACAGAGGCAATCATGCCCTCCACCAACCCAGTCATCCCCAACTTCCCTCTCAACTTTGACCTCATCACACAAATAATCGCCTCACAGGGTCAGCAACCCGCCTCAGTAGGCCAGGGCCAGTTTAGCTCTCAGCTTGTAATCGAACAACGTCTCAAGCTTAATCAATTGCACCAACTCCAGTTACAAAATCAGATCCTTCAGCAACAAGTACGTCGTCTTCACCATTTCCCCCCATCGCGCATATTTCCTAAGCTCCATTTTTTGTCAGCTGGAACTCCTCAATGGCCAGGGTAACGCATCTTCAATTGATGGCACTCCAGACTGCCAGAAATCCCAAAATCCCAATCCCTTCCTTGGTCTTCCCACACCTGGTGAGTTTACTCTTTCAATCTCGCCAGAAAACTCGGCTGATCGTCTCTTCAGTCAACTCCGCTGAGCTGCACGCTCAATCAAGCCCCAATGCCGACTATATCTCCCCCATTACCCTCGGCTATGTAGACGCCTCACAGTTTAGATCCAACCAGTCACAGATCCCTCCCGATATGCATCTCCCTCCACAACATATGTCTCCTGAGCACAATACTCGTTCTGCGCCGGCTAACCTCGTCTTCAATACGACCCCACCTATGCCCCTTCCCTCTCCTGGTGACATGGACTTTGATCTTTCGCCTTTAAGTCCCTGGATGGATGCATATAAACCAGATTCTTCACAACACCATCGACGCAGTAAGCGTACTGCATCACCACAGGAAGACGAGCAGGCTAGGGTCACGCGACAACGCCCAACCGCCTCCCAACGAGTTCCCCTCACCCCGAACTCCACGAAGCGTACACGTAGCACAAAATCTGCATCCTCGACGCCTCTTCTGCGCTCTACACGCACCGGGGGTCGCAGGGGAAGTGGAGAAATTCCCGGTGACACACCTTCACCAGTGGACTTGTCAATGCCCCCACCAGGGCTGCCAGCATCCCAACCCGAGCTCAATGCATCACCTCCGACCGCCAATATGCACGTCCCGAGTTCATTGCCCCCCAGTTCTACTGAGCCTGCTCCGAGCATAACGCCTGTTACGCCTTCCAGCCTAATGAATCTCGGGGGACTTGGTATGAACAGCGGACTTGCTCCTCCCACTCACGCTGTAAAAAATGATAGCAAGGGTAAATCCGGAGGGCGTGGGAAAGAAACGTCAGCATCGGCGTCTACGTCCAAGAAAGGCAATGGCGTAAGCCCAAGCCTCAAACCTATTCTTCCTGGTAAACAGAGCCCGCGCACTTTAACTATGAAACACAACACTAATTTTACCACATATCAGCCGGAAACGTGTATTCTTCTACCTCCATCGCTTCGTCGTCCTTGCCGTCACCCGTTCTTCGTAAAACATCACACAAGGCCGCTGAGCAGAAGCGCCGAGATTCACTCAAGACAACGTTCGACGACCTACGCATGCTACTTCCTCCGATACCACTACCGACGGAAGAAGGCTATCCAGATGAGCCAATCTTACCTGGTGCCATGCCTCCTCGTGGCCCCCCTAGAGGCAACGCAGACGGCCCAAATCGTGGTATCAGCAAGTTACAGCTCCTGCGTTGTGGAAACGATTACATCCGCTTGCTCCAAGAGAGTATTTCAAGGCGTGATAACGAGATATCGTTGCTCCGTTCCGAGGTGCGACGTTTGCGTGGGTTTATAAGTGAGGACGTTTGGCGAGAGGGTGCAAATGCAAACGAAATCGATCTCGAGCGAGACGTCGACCTCGGCGAGCTTGGCCCGTGGCGTCGGAGTACAGCTTCATATGATGCTGACGATATGGACGAGGACGCAGCAGAGTAGTTGTCGTTACTGATTTTACAGAGCCACTTTTAGACGCGAGTTTTCCGGTTAGTGTGGGTAGGGGAGCGTGATGATGCAGTATATTCGCAGTGTGCCTCTCGAGGGTGGAAAAAAAGACATTGATTGTATCGTCTTGATGACGTATTATGCAACCTTGTACGGTCCCCTGACAAACCTCTATGTGGAAACCGGACTGACCAACCGACCGACTAATTTTATCGTTTCCCCCATCTTTTGAGCAGCGCCATTCATTCGTGTTCCCTTTCACCGTCTTATGTACCTCCAAGGCTCCGTGCTTATAGGATCTTTCCTGGTCATTATGCAAGCTATCTACTCCCCCAGTCCATCCCCTCAACGATTGGCATCGGAAGTCCAAGCATTGTTCTTTTCTGGGCTTTTGGGTTGGCTCAATGACACGTTACTGTTGTCCTCAGACAAGGCCGGTTAATCGTCGCGATAGAGCTCGTGCCATCTGGATACCGATGATCCTTGTGCCTCGTGGCTAAACCAGGCTCTCAGAGGATATATCACCATTAAACCGTGTCCGAGGGAATCATGGTGATCACCGTGCTTGTTCGGGTTTTGAAAAACACAAAACAAGGTTTCTTTTTTTTTTTCTTGGGTCCCTGCTATGTCAATTTATCCTGTGCGTTCTTCTGCCAGTCAACGCACGCACTGAACACACCTCGGCGGGCTAACTCCCTCGACTATATTTCCCGGTCGCTGATATAATGTGCGCATTGTTTGATAAATCCACCCATTGCGGACTATTAGTATTTGGCCGGTTGTGCCGTTCACGGAGCCTATTGTGCCAACATACTCTTTTATTAATTATTCTTTTGCATGTCACAAGGCCAAATCTAGTCAGTACACACCTTTTTTCAGCGCCTTATCCTCCCCACTTTTGCTGATACACGTTCTGGGGTAGAGATAAGGTGGGCACGGCGGCTCTGTACGCTGTGACCTTGTACGAACACATGAGGGGGTGGGGGAAGCAACTGGGACTGAATGCCTCTGTTTTCGAGTCTCTGCTTAGCGGTGGCGACGAAAGCTCACCCAGATCTGTCAACACGCCTGTCACGATCGGCGACAAACGGCGACCAGTAGTAAGGCTGGGCGGCGTGGCGCCGGCTCGGGGCCACCAAGTTCCCCTTCCCCTCTCGACTTTCTCGCCGCTTGGCAACACCACGTGGTTCTCTGACTGGAAGCACCAACAAGTCGGTCGTTAAGGCGAGGGGGGATGAGCAAGTGACGGCATCGTGTAACGCCGCACTCCGTGGTATTATATTTGCTTGTTCCACGGTGTTTCCAGCACTCGAAACATGACACTCGAAACACGCAGAGAAGAAGGTGATAAAGGACTTCTTTAATTAGCCCGTCGGGCTATGGAGTCTCGTTCACGTCAGGTAAGCTATCATGAGGGCGTCAAGCGAGATCCTGAGAGGTAGTCGCACTAGTGACCTGGCTGACGCGATGATACATTTTCCTACTCTGACGAAAATATTTTGAACCAAAGCTAAGCTGCGTGAGGAGACATGTCGTGGTATTTGTAGATGATGCTGGAGTGCCTACAAAATTTACCGCGAAATGGCGTGCTTCGTTAGTAATCTCGAGGTCAAGAAAGCAATACGGATCCCGCTCTCGACCAAGGTGTGAGGATCGGTACAAGAAGTGAACACATTTAGATAATGCGGCCTTTAGAAATTGTCGATCAAGACGTCCAGTGTTTGTTCAAAAATTCCTTTCAGTGAAGGCACATATTGCCGCGGAAAATGATGTACTATAGGGTACTAGTTGTACACCCTGGATTGGATTGGAATGGAATTCAACCAGACAGACGATAAGATCTCAAGATAACGATCGGATCTGGCACCAGTACCCCAAGAGGATAGATCTCAGATCTAGATTCCTCCTTGGGGTGGTTCCTGGTCCCGTGGCCTGATATGCAAATAATTTTTTTTTCCCGCGATGCCCTGGGACCTCAAAACAACAATCATCATGTCCTCTCCTGGGCGCAGTCCTCTGTGCGTTGATCTCTACTCGTCAGTAACACGAGCTAATTCTATTTCTATAACATGTCAGTTCTGCCGTGTTCTTGCTCCATCTCGCCTTGGAGGCCCCCTTGGCTTTCCAAGGCCTCTGGGCGCCTGGCAGCCTGCCTTTTCTCCAGCTAAACAACACGACGCTTGTGATATTGAAGGTATGGCACGCCATTCAGATATAAGATACGGCTACTTAAACCATGTCATTTGCAAGATGTATGCGACGTTGGTGCTGGGTATATGTATCGTGGCGTTGCTCTGTTTTCCCCTTCCAGGTGAATCAATAAATTACGCATCTGTGTCCGCTGGCAAACTCAAAAATGGCATCAGAGTTTCTTCCTTGCAAGCGCGCCCTTGCGATCGGCCTCTGTGTATATCATACCATGATATCGACCGTGCTCTTCCAAGCCCCCCGCTTCATCCCGTTCAGCTTCGGTGCCTTCTTTGAAAGGTTAGTACCCTATTTTGTGCCGCACATCACCGCACTGACTTGACTCGAATAACCTTGCTTCGACGATGCATAGTTATAAGTTTACCCCGGAGATCTTTTGGGGATGTTTGCATGGGTTCTTGGGTCTCGGTTTCGTCGCTTGGTGGCAGGGAACAGTGGGGTACATGCAGATGGTAAAAAGGACCGAGTAGGCCTGTTTCCGGCTTCAAGGCGCCGCGCCAGTACAGTACTATCCTGGCTGAATCCAAGTGATGACACCAATTAATGTTTTGGGGGGATTGGATGACCAGTTGACTGATACGGTTTCGAGAATAATACGGAAATCCATTCCTGTTAGGCGCTGACACGGTGAGGCAAAGAAAGGGTTGGCGCGTGCCAAATTACCAAGGACCTGGAAATTTACCATCCCATCAATACTTTGCGCCCAATACGCCACGTATTGAACGCATCGATGGCGGAATGTAAATTAACAAAGAATGAGACAATTTATTAGCAAGTGAGATCCCAAACAAGGCGGTAGTCGTAAGTTGCTGATCGTCGATAACTTAAAGACGACGGAGGTTATATGGACCAATTCCCGTTTAGCTCAGCTGGTAGAGCGCGTCACTAGTAAGTCACGTGGGCTTTAGCCCCTTACTCATGACGAGGTCAGTCGTTCAAGTCGGCTAATGGGAATCCTTTTTCTGATCTTTGGTTGTGCTCGCCGCACAACGGAGCGCTTTGATAATAGTTGACGCTTCCGGAAGAGGACTAATTGACTCTTGATCAGATCTCCGACGACGACCAATACACCGTTGCAAGGATTGCGTTCATCTTCTTCTCAAGTGTCAGAAAACATTACTGTAGTACGGGATGAAGGCGACAGCGACAAGTATTGCCGGATGCCCTGGAATCAAAGTACCCGAGACCGAAAGGCGGCCGCGCCCGCGTGATAACGCACATGCTCATAATGGAGACGGCATGACGTTAATCAAACCTGTCATGTGCGTTTTACATTTCAGAGTTTATTTGGCCGTCCATGGCCACATGGTCCATGGGTCTCCCATGAGCTGGCTCAGACCAAGCGTTGGTGCTTCACTCTTCCGAGTCAGCCCCTCCGAGTCAGGCTCTCCGCGGAGCTGTGGATACACAACGCTTTACGAGAAAGAACCCCACATCTATTTGATGTGCGCCACATCGGTGATGTAAAGATTGAACGCGATGACCAAGTAGCTGAGATATCGACGAGAGTTAGCGGTCGCATAATGCCGACGTGGCGGAGTGCAGCTGGTGCTCTACAAGCGACAAACAACAAAAAAAAAGAAAGTTCTCTGTTATTGGCACAATAAAACCTCCAAGCCTTTCACGCTTGCCCTTTTTCATGTCCCAGCTTTTTGTGAGAGAGAGTCAGGATTATAATTGTCGTTCTATCAGTATCATTGCCCGTTGTCACGTCATTAAAATAAAATAAAAAATTATTGCTGCCTCTAACTTACTTTTGGAACCGCTTGTATTGGGTGGTGTGGTGCTTGGCATCATGATGGGAGCATGGTCTCCACAATAAAAAAGTAAAGTTTGTTATACGGTCCCGATGGTTATTCTAGGAGCTCAAGACCCGGCCGTCCATAGGCGCTGACCCAACTCGCGTCGCGTCGTAGGCGACTAAAGGGTTGTACATCGCCCCGCGATGCTACAGCACATCCCTCGTATATATATACAGGAACCGGGCAGCGCGTGATCGAGGACGCTAACACAGCAAAAAGCGTTGAGCCAAACACGGATCAAAAAAAAAATAATTTGCCGCCGAGGCATTTTCCCCCACTCACACAAAGTTGCAACGGCCTAGATCTTTGGCTTTCTGGATCGGCCCCGCCCGAGCTGGAGGCCTGTCTCCGCATAGCACTCGAGGGCAGATGCGCGGCTATATAACTGATGAGATTGTAGCAACGGTCCAGCACAGCCTGTGAGTGAAGTCCGAGTAACTCCTGAACCTGAAAACACAGCATCTTGCACAGCATTCAACCAAGACAAAAGCTTTACGAGTCCGAGCTGGAGCTGAAGACCAAAAGCCCGAGATTTTTTTTTATTATTTATTATTTTCCCAAGCTAGCACTCAAAAAATTTAGCAGACGCTGTTGTATTGCCAAAGATGGTGTCCAGGGCTGGTTTCGCAGACCTAGGTCACGGGAGCACGGATCAATTGTGGGGTACGTGCCGAAAAGGTAAGGGGGTACTGTGGCGGGAAGTTCACGCGTTCACGGGTTAATAACCAACACGCTTTTTGTGAGGAAGCTTAAGAACTGGGGACGGGGGAAAGGGGGGCGTTAAGAAGCTCCACATTTGCCCAGAACGTACGAACGATCGGCCAAGGACGAATAGAAGCTCGAGCTGAATGGAGTTGTGTGGCGAGGTGATACCGTCAATTGACCGTTTAGGAAAGGGCTAAGAGCGTGAGTAGGGAAAACAGGGGTTGTCTGTTCCGTAGAGAAAGTTCCCACCTGAGGAGGGGACTCACTAATTTGACGGATCCGTGAGAACCTGATGGATAGAGTGATGATGCTGATGAGCTAAAATTGTTCTGTTGGGCTGGGCACAGAACGGTATCGCCCGCCACAGTCAGAACTACGGTCATTGATTGCAGATGTGGTCACGGAGAACATTAGAGGTGTGAAAAGCGCAGGCTAGGAATAGTAGTTTTTACCAGCGATCAAAAAAAAAAAAAAACGATTGTGCGCCTAGTACGGACCCTCTTCGGGTCACGCCGCGGAGGTGCTCTGGGCGTTTTCCGTTTCCGGTGACAAAAAGTGCCAGGAATCATTGTCTCTGTTTAGAGTCATCTTGCTACCAGATCGAGACATTCGAAAGGGCTTTTTGGTGCCGAGATCGATGCCAGCAGGGATGACCCAGAAATATGATTGTGGAAGAAACCGAGGCTTTTCTAGGCCCCCGCTCATTGCGTCTTTGGAAGGCAAGAGCGCTCACGAGAGCCAAAGACGGTTAGCCGCGCTGTCAGTAAGGGGATGTCCCATTGTCCAAGTTGTCGGCCATGTGCAAAATTGAGAGCGCTGAAGGATTTATAATTGTGTCTCCACAGCAACGGGACGTGAGACGGAAAGAAACGAATAGACGAGGGGAGCTGTGGAGGGGGGGAAAGGACAGGTACAGTACTAGTAGAGGTGTCGTGTATAAGCTAAAGTGAAAATATATTATATATGATAAGAATAAAATATAATAAATTAAAATTGAGTTCACGGAGTAGAGAGGAAGTGTTTACTCTGATGGTGTAGAATGGAGCGTTTTGGAACTTCTCTTGTCTGACAAATAAATAGGGACGAGAAGTAGGGACCTGACCATACATGTACAATCTTTGTGGGAAAAAAGTAAACAAAACCACGTGTCTGTTTGTCTATTTGTGAGTTATTATTTACGTTTCCCAAACTGCCGTTTGAGTATAACAGCCGGCGTTCGCCTGTGTTTATTAGGCCACCACGCTCACCGCTCCACCCAACACCTGGGATTTATTCTCTCCCCTCCCCATTCTTACCTCGATAACATGGCCGTTACACTCCCTCCACATCCCCCCACTATCCCATCCCACAAACGTCGCCGTCGTACCGCTACTTCCGTCCTTGCCGGCGATTTTGACCCACGACCACCTAGGGACGTACTCACAAGCCTTCTGAATGGCGTCCCTCGCTATCTCGTTGTAGAGTCACCAGTCGACATGAAGCGAGAAAAGCGGAGGGACAGGAAGGCACGAGAGAGGGTCAAAAAAAGGGCCAAATCGGCCCAGCATGAGCCCGTAAATGGTGAATCGGGCGCCCACGACGATACTGTTCCCCCCATCGCCGATTCTCTCTTACATCCCAAAGATTTCCTTTTTGATCCCTCGTCTTCCTCAGCCTGGGGCTCCCGGCCGGTATTACACCTCGCCACCACCCAGCGTTCAGTCTCAATCACACCGCCACCAATGCCCTCTCTCCCCCTACCACACCTGGCCCTTCCATTTCATCCAGCACGTCCCGAACATCATCCAAGAGACCGCACACTCCTGGTGATGACTCTGACTTGGATGAGTCACAAGGAGACGCCTCTGAAACGCCACGGCAGTCCCGGCCCCGAAAGAAGCGGCCCGCAGCACGCAAGGGATGGAAGGGTTGGGTGGAGGGGTCGCCACCGCCATCGGAAAAGTTGATAAATTTAGATGCTGTACAGGTCTTGGAGGAGCGGCGGACTCGGAGTGGGAAGAGCTTTGATGCGATCGGGCTTGGAAAGGACTCATGGGTTTAAGATGGTGCGCTGCGCTACGTGTTATTACCCCAGATTTCGGCCCTGACGTACCCCATTTCCTATTCCTAGCATACAAAACGGCGAATGATGCTGCGGCGTTGGACTGCGTATTATCGTCCGTGCGTATTTGTTTGCCGTATCCTTATTTATACTTTCACTGCATTCTCTTTCCTTGTTTTCCTACCCGTTCTTGCTTTAGCTCTGGATCCCATTCCTCTCGGTTGCTATGGTTTGTTCTCATGTATATCCCGACATTTTCATCCTGTTATGCTTGTTTTGCGCGATCTTTGACACATCGGTACCATCATGTATTTCTTAAACCCCACCCTCCTCCCTTACAACTGCAGCCAATATCTTCTTCCAACCGTTGCGAAGACCTAACATCTTAATTGTTTCTTTGTATTTCTCGTTGAAGTAGATTATCAAAACGAAAACACCCTCACCTGTGATTCCCACAAATAGATAGACATCTTTGAGATGCAAAGGCCAGATCAGGTTAGAGCAGACAATAGCAACGAAACGGTCATCTGTTTAAAGAATGCCGTCAGAAGAGGAAACGGGTCGGGACAAGCCCCGCCAAACTGTCGTTAGCGCTTGACCTGACAGGTTGTCACTCTTCCCACGATCGGACGTCTCAGGCCGTTCCAAATTTGGAATTACCACCAGCCCGGCGCGGCCTGCGTGTGAGACCAGCACTTGTTTCGACGAGTGCCAGTGAGCAACGTGGCCCAGGGCAGCTTTCCCCTGTACGTCAATTGATTACACGACTCTTTTCCTCGATTTTCCTCTTGGCACTTCCCTCGCTTTTTGCAGTGATCAGGCGCTTTCCAACCCCCCTTCCCGTGGTCGGCTGCCCGGCACCGGCGTGCACGATCACACCCACAAAAAAACGCCAAAGTGACACTAGAGCTGACGTTTTGATATTTTTTTGCTTTTTCCAAAGTTCTAGACCCGCCGCCTTTGCCCTCATCGGCGTTGCCACGATGCTGTCGCGTTTCTTGCCTCCACCTTTACCTCCGCCCCAATCATGGTACCCAGGACACATGACGCAATTCTCCCGAATTCTCCCCAACTTGCTCGCCCGTACTGACGTCGTACTCGAATTACGGGACGCTCGATTACCCATTTCGAGTGTGAACAGAAACTTTGAAGGTGAGGACTATATGAAAGCAAGGCCAAATTTTGTCCCCCCCCCCCCCCTGCAGGGCTGTCCAGTAGTAGTAGGGGGCCGACGATAACGGGTGTGTTTGCGGCTCTGGGGGGATCCCCCACGTGTTTGTCCATATATAAATTTTTGTTCCGACACACTCTCTGGGGTTTCTCTTACGAATGCCCTCTCAAGAAGATGGGCGTGCTCGACATGTGGCACATCAGAATACCCTTGATCTTCCCGCTCGGAGATTCGA